GGGCACAGAGGTCAGCATGGAGGATGTATTGGTAGTCTAGGAGAGGCTCAGGACAGGGGCAGGGACAGCGCACCGCGGGTAACAGTCATAGTCGTCATAGCAACAGAGGAGGCGCACGGCCGCCAACTATGGGACATTATGTTTCGGGCTGACTTAAAGCAGCCACTACGTAGCACCGCGTGCTGCAGATCCTGCGATGCTCTGTTCCAGGCGAGCGTTGCCGCGCCGCCGCGGCCTGGAGCCCTGGAACTGGAACCCTGGAACTGGAGCTGGAAAACGCGGCGCGCGGATTCAAATCGCTCCCAGAGCTGGAAATAGGCCAGGCTTGTCGTAAACTCGGGCAGGCAGGCAGGCAAAAAGCGAGTCCAGCGAGGTGCTGGGGCATGGCCGGCATGGCTGGAGCCTCCAAGCGCCTAAACGCAGTGCCCCTCTTCACTGTAAAAAAAAAAGAGTGTTTATCGGCAAATTTGTTACTAATGTGACTTACGTCGTTTACTGATGACTCACGTTGTTCCCCAATGAGATGTCTTTAAACTAGTAGCCACTTTTACGAGCATCGCTTTTGATTGCCACTGAAGACCCAGACCTAACCTGGTACGAGCCGCGAGTATGTCTCGTTGGGTTGACTAGGTTAGTTTGTAAACAATGAAAAGATCTTGCATTGTTTGTGAACAAACCTGGTCAACCATCTTTGGTATTGGAACAGCATGTTGAACCGCAGCGTTGTCGAGGTCGGTGGTCGTTGTGTTGTTGGAAGAATGACGAGCCTTTTTTAACAGTGGTGTTCTTGTTCCAGCGGCAAGTGCCTGGCCGGACCGCCGGACCGGCCAAGCCACGCGGCTTTCTCCCGCACTGCCTCCATTAGGCCCGGAATCCACGGCCTCCAATTCGGGTGCGTTGGCGGTCTCGGACGTCTCGGACGTCTCGGACGCGGAGGTCCCGCGGGTTCGACTCCCAGTGTGTCCGTTGTTTATGTTTCAAAAGCGAAGTGGAAATCAACGCACCTGTAGGACACCTGCGGACACCCCCGACCACACACACACACACACACACACACACACACACACACACACACACACACACACACACACACACACACACACACACTGTACGAAGACAGTAACTCAGATCAATCATAAAAGTAGATGTTGTGACTAACCCTCTTAGTAAAAACGATATTACTCAGAAGTACAACCAAATTTTAACCGACTGGACTGAAATTTTTTCACTACGGTGCGGACCCTGATATACCCGCGTTCGATTCCCTTCACAATCCTAAATTTCTACTCCAGAACGAAAAGCAAGAAAGCCACGGTCATCGCGCGGCCGTCCGTCGGTGTGCTTCGCGACATGTCGTCCGGAAGGCTAGGCTAACGGTGCCGGCTCTGCTGGGCTCTGCAGACTGACTCCGAGAGTCGTTTTCGTCGCTCTGTCTCTCTCGCACCTGCGCCGGACGCCCCATGCGTGCGAGCGAGACAGAACGTCGAAAACGACTCTTGGAATCGGACCGCTGAACCAAACAAATACTTTAACGAGTGTGCAACTGCTGGAGAGGCGGCCGCGCTCCGCGATGTGTGAGAACACGGAGCGGCGGGCCGACTCCGAACAGCTCTCTCTGTCTCTCTCGCACTCGTGGGACGTCCCGTAGAGGTGCGAGGGAGACAGAGTGACGACGTTGCCGCTCGGAATGCAGTGTGCTGCCGGCCGCCCATGACGCGCTATTGTTCCGGAAAGAAATGTGCGTTATTTGGCGAGAGAGAGAGAGAGACTGAGACGGACTGAAAGAGACTTGACGAAAGCGCGTTGTTACTGGCCGGGTCCTCCTCCGCGGCTCGCGGCAGCATGGCGGCAGCGCACAGTGGGCCAGAAGACCGGTGGAGGCGGACATAACTCTGGACGCGTTTCGAGCGCCAGAGTCGCTTATCAGGCCTCGAACCGAACGTGTGACCCCACCAATGGATTCCTCGTTCGGAGAGCAATCCATTGGTGGGGTCACACGTTCGGTTCGAGTCCTGTTTAGCGACTCTGAAGCTCAAAACGCGTCTAGAGTTTTGGCCTCCTCCACCGGTCTTCTGGCCCACTGTGCAGCGGGCAGCGCGTTCCCGAGAACGGCGGGGGCTTTCGTGGAAGCGCTCCACCGGGCGCCCCGACCCGACCCGCCGCCGTACAACATTCACCAGGGAAACTGACGATACTTCCAACGTGATGTGGCGGAATTCCGCACTGGTAAAACTAAAGTAAGGCGTAACACTGCGCACAGTGGGCCAGAGGACCGGTGGAGGCGGCCAAAATTCTAGACGCGTTTTAAGCTCCAGAGTCGCTAAATGGGACTCGAACTGAGCTTGTGACCCCACCAATGGATTCCTCGTTCGGAGAGCAATCCATTGGTGGGGTCACACACCCGGTTTGAGTACCATAGTAATTCTAGTAATTTTAAAACACCTTTTTTTAAGGCAAGCAAGCTTCTGGCTACACCTCGCGAGACTAGTAAATAAATAAATAAAGCCGAAACCACAGACGCACGGAACCACAGAACAAACTATCTTGAAATGGTTTGGGGCAGCCACACCTTCCCTGCCCCTCCCCCGCCACACGGGTGGCCCATGCCGGCCCATGCCGGCCCATGCAGCACTCTGATTCCGAGAGTCGTCGCTCCGTCTCTCTCGCACTCATGGGGCGTCCCGTATATGTGCGAGAGAGACAGAACGACGAAGACGACTCTCGGAATCAGTCTGCAGGCCCAGCCTTTGGGCGGGGTCGCCCCTCAGTGGGCCCACCTACCGGCGGCACAACTATCCGGCATAATCTAGAAAATCCGATTCCGGGATGGAGCCGTGAGCCGTCGCCGCGCCCGGCCTTGGACAAGTAGAGTGTCACCGGCGGGGGGCCGGGCGCGACGCCCACCAGACCAGGTGGCCCTCCACAGACACAAACACATTCTCTCTCTCTCTCTCTCTCTCTCTCTCTCTCTCTCTCTCTCTACTCTCTCTCTCTCTCTCTGTCCTGACCACACACACACACACACACACGGGGCAACAAGCTTACCCCAAACACGCTCCGTGGATCCTGACCCCGCCTCTCCGAGGTCGTGGAGGTAGGTGCGGCGGCGTGGGACGCGGTGTCGCATCTGGAGAGTCATTTCCGAACGGTCGCTCCGTCTCTCTCGCTCCGTTGCGGGACCGCCCCATGAGTGCGAGAGAGACAGAGCGACGAAAGCATCGTTCGGAATCGACCTGCCGGCCGGAGAGCGCTCGGCTCGCTGGAGAAGGCCCTGGAGAAGCAGGCGCCGCCGGGGCTTGGCCGAGCCTGGCCGGGGCCCACATCTCGCGCCTCATCTGGGGCCGCATTTTTGCAGCCGGCCCACTGTGAGGCCCACACCCAGCGGTGGGATTCCGAAGCGCGCCGTCTCTCTCGCACTCACGGCGCCGGCCGGCGGATCAAACGGCGGACCCGCAGGGACCGCGGGCGGAGGGCTAAGCGAAAGGGAGCCGCGCCTTCCCGGCGTCACCTGCCAGCGGGAGAGAGAGAGAGAAGAGAAACGGGGGAGAGATAGAGAGAGAGAGGGAGAGAGAGGAGAGAGAGAGAGAGAAGGGGGAGAGATAGAGAGAGAGAGGGAGAGAGAGAGAGAGGGAGAGAGAGAGAGAGAGAGAGAGAGAGAGAGAGAGGAGAGAGAGAGAGAGAGAGAGAGAGAGAGAGAGAGAGAGAGAGAGAGAGAGAAGAGAGAAAAGATAACGAGATGAGAAAAAAATCCAACACGGGAATCAATCAATTCGAAACCGTGTCGAAGGAGGCGGGGGAGAGACCTCGGCCCAGTCGTGCGTTCAAGTCCCCGAGCAAGGCAGCAGGCGGTTGTGATGGGGTAACACGCGGCGCGCCACGCCACTGCAAGCCGCGGCGTCCACCGAAAGTCTGTATTCCCTTCCGCACGGACACCTCCTCATTCCGATGGGCAGCGCGTCCAGTCAGGTGCGCACTCTTCCTGCCCCTCCCCCCCCTTCCCCTCCCCACCACCCCCACCCAGCCGCCTTTCTCCTCAGCGCGCTCACACAAGCCGCGCGCCTCCCACTCCCCCGTGCAGGACTCGGTGTGTCTTCCCTCTCTCTCTCTCTCTCTCTCTCTCTCTCTCTCTCTCTCTCTCTCTCTCTCTCTCTCTCTCTCTCTCTCTCTCCATAGCGTTCCCTGGCCGCCAGTGCCGCCCGCTCGGAGCGGCCTGCTGCCCGGCCTGCATCTGCATACGGGACGCACGTCGCGCCATTTCCAGGGAGTTTCCAGGGGGTTTCCAGGGCGCCTCAATGCGGAGCCGGAGTCTCGTCCGGGATCCCGACCCGGCCGCAGGAAAGTGGACCGACCGGGGGCACCCCGCGGGATGACAGCGATGACACACAGCAGACTGATTCCGAGAGTCTTTTTTGCCGCTGTCTCCCTCGTACTCGTATGGGGCGTCCCGTACAGGTGCGAGAGACAGAGCGACGAAAGCGACTCTCGGAATCAGTCTGCTGGGCGCACAGAGCCCCTGCGGATTGCGGTGTAGGCAACCGCAGCGCACCGACGTGCAGGGGTTGCCTACCCGTCGGCGGCAAGGCGCTCCCCGGACGGCCGAGAGACACCGTGACTGCCGTCGAAAAAGTTCAACCAACTCGACGACAATCCAGTCGATTTGCCTGGCGAAGTATTTCCAGTTAAAAAAAGGAAGGGCCCGATAGTCAAGTGAAGCGAATACTTTAAGTCGGTTTGCTTTAACTTCCTCACAGTGCAGTTGAAACGGCGCGGGCGATGGCCGGCGTGCCTTAGGGACGGCCCCCCTGGTTGGGAAAGGGCGGGCGCTTTGAGACGCTCCCCTCGCCGGAGCTGTAAACCGCCGCGCCGCCGCGACGCCCCCCCCCCCCCCCCCGCCGCCCCTTCCCCTCCCCGGCCCCCTCCGGCGGCAGGTCGCTCAGGCCGAACAGGTCCGCCGGGCCGCGGCCGCCTCGCCGCCTCGCCTTCGTCAGTTGGCAGCGGAGCGGCATCGCGTCCACACCGCCAGTCTGAGGGCGTACCGTCGTGCCACCGCGAGCACCGCGACGTCGCGAGTGAGTGCCCCTCCCCTCCCCTCCCCCACCCCCCGCGACGCCGCGACGCCGGCCAGGGAATCGAGGCCACCTGTGCATGGCGCTGAGCGGCGTGGCGCGGAGTGGCTCGCGCGTGTAGTGCGTGTGTGTGTGTGTGTCCGTCATTTTCGCGTTTTCGCGCGCGCGTGTAGCTTCAGTGAGCCGCGGTGGCGTTCCGGCGTGCGGGCGATGGTGGCCGTGACGACGGCGATGTTCTGAAGCGGTCGCGCCCCTCTGGCGGTCGCGCGCATCGTCCCCGTCACCGACACCACCGCCAACACTGACGTCCCCGTCGCGTGTGTCCGCCCCCAGCCCCCCGCCAGTGGATTATTGCCAGAGGATTATCTTGGATTGGCCGGCCCAGCAGCCAGCCAGCCACCGCGCCACCGACGAGAGCATGAGAGTGGCGGCCAGCGCCGCCAGAGCAGCAGCATGAGGAAGGACATCAAGAAGTCGTCGTACTACGTGTGGTTCCTCGGCGCCCAGGAGGCCAAGGGACTGCGCGGCCCCGAGTATGTGCTCCCCGTGGTGCGCTCCCTGGTGGAGCGCGAGCGCGAGGTGGAGCCCTTCAAGGTCACCCTGCAGGTCAGCCACAAGGGCCTCAAGATCGTGCAGAACGTCCCCGGCGCCGCGGCCGCGCCCGCCGGCAAGGCGTCCGCCAAGCCCGCCCTGAAGGCCGCCAAGGCGGAGACGGTCAAGCACCTGATCCCGCACCACGCGGTGACGTGCGTGCTGCAGCAGGAGGACATCGTGGCGTGCATCCTGCTGCTGTACAACCCCGTCACCAAGTGCCCCGTGCACGTGCACGCGTACCGCTGCGACTCGGTGGAGACGGCGCAGATCCTGTGCGGCCAGCTGCAGACGCTGATCGAGCGGCCGGACAACCAGAAGAAGCTGTCGGAGATCGAGTCCCGGCTGCGCGCCAAGGGACTGCTGCTGCCCGCCGCGCTGCCGCCCGGCCCGGCGTCGCGCAGGCACGGCGGCGGCTCGGACGGCCGCTCCACCAGCACCAGGGAGTCCGAGTCCTCGGCGGGCTCCTCGTCCGAGCGGCTCAGCGGGCTGCGCGAGGAGCGCGTCACCAACCTGTACGACTCGCTGGCCGCCGAGCTCCGCGAGAAGCTGGGCGCCGACCAGGACACCGGGCACGCGCCCATCCTGCTGCCGCCGCGCGACTACGACACCGTGCACCGCCAGAAGGGCAACCTGGCCAGCGTGGACCGGCGCCGCTGCCTCAGCGCGGCCGTGGTCGGCGTCAACGCCAGGAACGTGAAGAACGCCCTGGAGGAGCAGCCCGCCGCCGCCAGCGGCAGGGGCGCCGGCAAGCGCGGCTCCGGCGGCTCGGGCACCCAGACGGGCCGCGCGGGCGGCGGCGGCGGCGCCCTGGTGGGGTCCTCCGGGGGGTCCTCCGGCATCGGGTCGGACCACGCGCCGTCCCCGGACAACGAATCGGACCCGCGCTACCTGGACAACGCGTCTTCATCAGGTGAGCCTCGGCGGGCCTTGCTACGCTGTGGGAGAAGGTGTCGGTGAGGGAGGGGGGGGCGTCGTTATCACCTGCAGGTTGACCAAGGACGACAACGCCCTAAAGAAGCCGCTTCTTGAACCGAGATCACACTTGCATCACGTGAATTTACTACTTTTTGAATGATTCAAGTAGATACAAGTTATCGCAAGTTGGTTTTCTAGGTTCAAGAAAAGGATTTTTAGGGTGCAGGACGTGTTCTAGGCGCCGACTTGTGAGGCTTGACCCAACGCGAGAACAGCGGTCGAATCTTCACCACTCCGAAATGACCACCCGACCGAGCCCCCTTCGGGGCCCGGCCACACCTTTCACTGTGGGATTGAGATTCCCCTTGATTGGCGCCTTGGCGCGCCTTGGCCGAAGCACGCCGATGTGGGTCAGGTTTACTCGCCTCAATAATCCCAATGTTTGTTTTCCCATTTTCGTGTGCGGTTGAGGCGTGGTCGAGGCTGGGGCCGGCCGGGCCAAGCCGAGCTAAAAGGCCGGGATGCGTGGGCTATCGCGCTGCGTCGGTCCCGTCGTCACGGCGGCAGGCCTCTATGCTTCCCACAGGCCGAGAAGGCCCCCCCCCCTTCCCCTCACCGGCGCGGCCGTCAAAGGAAAGCCAGTCGGTGCCGTATCAACCCCCCGCCCCCTCCCATTTCCACCTGCCGACGCGGCCGGCCGAAGGGGTCCTATCGTAATTTGTTTTTCATAATACACGTCGGTCTGGCCGCGCCTGGGCTAGGCGAGGGAGTAGGAGTGCCTTCGGAGGTGAACGGCCGGGCCGGGCCTCAGGCCGAGCCCCGCCAAGGGCCCCGTCGCCCCCGTGGTGCCAACCTTGAAACAACAAATAGGCTGGACAAGGGTACCAACTGGCAGGAGTGCATTGACGTGCCCAGGTACCATAGACTAACCCGGCCTTCGTGACAATGGGCCTGAGCACGCCGACTCAGGACACTGCTGTCGCTCTCTCTCTCTCTCTCTCTCTCTCTCTCTCTCTCTCTCTCTCTCTCGCACCAGTACGGAACGCCCCGTGAGTGCGAGAGAGACAGAGCGAGCGAGTGCGCGCGGACCTTCTGTATGGACCTGGAAGAAAAACCTTTAACAAAGTCGAAACGCGGTCCAGTCAGGGCAGCGCGCTCTGTACGTACCATGACTCTGCCCCTCTTTCTTCATCTCTATCCCGATTCTTGGCACGGTGTTTCTATCCCGCTCCGAGTCTTGGCACGCCACTTCTATCCCTCTCTATCCCGCTGCGCTTCCCGTTACAGTGTACCTGTCGGGGGCGGCGCGCGGCACTGCGTTCGACTGTTTAAATCCGCCGCCGCCTCGGCGGCCACCGGTTCTCTAGTGCTCTCCAGCACTCTCGAGGACTCTCTAATTGAGCGTCACTAGCACGAGACTCTTGCAAACAAAAAATGATGAGCCTCTCCAGGGAGCCGTTAGAGGTCAGCAGCCACACTGCCTATTTAAGGAATGGCCACACACTCTCACACACACACACACACACACACACACACACACACACAGTCACACACACTTACGCTCGTAATTGCGCGTAAATGTGTCTGGCATTCCAGCGAGGGGAGCGATTGACTGAAACTACGGCCGCAGTTCCAACGGCGACCGCAGCGCGGCGCTGGAGGCGCCAAGAGGGGTCCTCTCCTTTACGGGAATCGGCTGACTCTCGAAATGGTAATGCCCCTGCGTTAGTTTGGAGCGGCGTACGTGAGCCCCTCGAGCACGCACGCAGGGTCTCGTATTTCGCCATTTAGTTTTGAAAAAATCAAAATCCACGGTTTATTATTTTGGGTGAATTTACTACAACTGGTCGTTCCCCCATGTATTCTAAGATTTTTTTTAGCGAAACATGCCTTTACTTTAAAAACCAACTTAAAGTACAAGATACATTACGGCGTGCGTCAGCTTGATTTTTTTTGTTTAAAAAAAAATCAGTACATTTTTTTTGTAAGTACACCTTGAAAAATGGTTTCTTTATTTTAAATTTTCTTGGTTTTTATAAGAAAAATGTCTGAACAAAGGAAAATTTTTCTGCATACAAGGAAAAGAGTTTGGATAAAGAAAAATTTTCTTTTTTTTAAAAAAAGAGAAAAACACAAGAAAAGTTAAATTTTTTTCGATCCAAGAAGTCATTTTTTTAGGTGTAGGATTAGGACAAATTTACCTTCATTACGTGCACCCTACACTGGCATTTCCGACACTTTTCCGGAGACGTGCGTATGTCCGCGCCAAACGCGGCTCTGGAAGTAGGCGAGCGAGGGGCAGGCAGGCAGGCAGGGGTGCGCACTTTACCGCGTTAGAACGAGGAAACCGACCAGTCGCTGGCCCCGCTGGCCCCGCCGGCCTGGCGCGCGCAGACGTGTACTTTTCACGATCCGCATGCACCCACACTCATACACACTGCGCGGCCTAGCTGCACTGCGGCCAAGCCGGGCGAGGGGGAGAGATGCTTCCGCTTCGGAGAAGTGAGGTTAGGTAATCCTGCAGCTGCATTTCCGTCCGTTCACACACACACACTCACATCGGAATTCACATTCCGCGGAACCATGTGGAAGTGAGCCAGAAGAATGAGGTCAATATTTTTATTTTCCTCATTTTGCAGTGTACCCTTTCCCGCCCCTTTCTTTCGCGGCGCCGCATTCGGCTTCGATTTTACAGCCGTTTTATTACACGAGCCAAGTGCGCGTGCCAATCCCATCCCAATCCACCTGTGGCTGCCCGTGGCTGATCCCGACGATCGTCGCTCTGTCTCCCTCGCACCTACACGGGACGCCCCATGAGTGCGAGAGAGACAGAGCGACGAAAACGACTCTCGGAATCAGTCTGCTGGCCCAATGAGGGCGCGGCGTGACCGTGAGTCATACCCGGGCCGCTGCACCACCTTGCAGTGCCTGCAGCGTCTCGCGCCGCGCCAAGTAAGACGCCTCTGGACGCGCCAAGCGGCGCCAAGCGTGTCAGCGGCTCAAGTTTCGTGTTGCTGCCCCAGCTCCTCATACCCAGTTTCGTATGACGTCCTCCATACCCATTCGCTCGACCCATCCGTCATCAGTCTCGATCTGGAAAAGGGAACCATTCCAGAGTAGTCAATAACTTGAACCCAAGCTGGAACCACCTTCCAAATGTGCAGCCGCTGGACGAGAATCTTTCTCGGCACAACAATATTTTTCAGGCACGAAGTATCTACCGCTACTTTCACAAGGATCGGATATTTCAGCCTCGCCAGGAGTTTTTTGAGACTTTGCGAAAAGACAAAACTTGGTAGGCTGAGATTTTAATGATCCTTATTAAAAACGATCCAGTTTGGTAAAAAATTATTTTTCTGGTACTTTACTTGTACCTGACTAGCATTAATAATTCGCAGTTTCGCTATTTTTCTCCTTTTTTAAAAATTTTTTGCCTGGCCCTTGGCTACGCCTTGCTACGCCCCTGCTCGGCCCTCTTGCATTCACTGGAGCCGCCTTAACAAGACGAAGCCCTGTCCAGTCGATCCCTGCCGTTCCAGTACGCTGCCTTGTTTGAATGTCCAGCCGAGTGACTTGCAGGCCTCCCCGGACGGCCGGGCGGACGGACAGACAGACAGACAGACAGACAGACGGACGGACAGACAGACAGACAGACAGACAGACAGACAGACAGACAGACAGGCTGACACACATGGGTGGTCCAGCCCCGACGATGCTGTTGCGATAAAGAAAGACGAGATAAACAGAGAGAGACGGAGCGAGTGCATTATCTCATCGGCAGTGTTGATAGAGCAGAGCAGCAGCCAATCGCTGCACCAGCGAAAACAACAACAACAACAACAACAACAACAAAAAGAAAGAACGGCGCAAAAACTAATTGCAGCCGTTGCGTAAATAACAACAGTCGAGAAAAGCGATTCGGCTCAATCCGTTAGCGGCACGGTGCGATAAATTTGTTGTTGTTGTTGTTGTTTGGTACTGGCTAGACCGGGCTTGTGAAAGGGGCGGCAGGTCGCCATCCCCGGCCGTTTGTCCGTCCATTGGCCAACAACGCGCGGCCAGTTTGTCCTCCACCTGTGCTGCTCATCTGCAACAACAACAACAACAACTGCCAGGCAATTAGACTATGCTGCTGTAAAAGTGAAAACACGGCCCCCTTGCTTTTAACATGCAGCAGTATCAACAACAAAAACAACAGCAGCAGCAGTAGCAGGAGCAGCTTTTGTGCGGCGTACGGCCCAAAAGTTTCTCAGCGCCGAGGTAGTACACACGGCGTGCATGCCATCCGTTGCGGTCGTCACCACGCGGCCTACGTATCGTTTTATTCCCTTTTTACGCCGCCAAATTGACGCCAATTCAGCCAGCCAGACTCGCGGGGGAGAGAGAAACTAACCGCGTCTCTGATTGGCTACACGCGAGAAACACCGCGACGGCTGGCAAAGGGGTGGGATCACTTTCAGCGAATCAACACCTGTATGGCTGAGCGATACCGATCGGAGGTGTTGGCAGCTGTGTGTGTGTGTGTTTGCGTCTCTTTCTCTCTCTCTCTCTCTCTCTCTCTCTCTCTCTCTCTCTCCTCTCTCTCTCTCTTTCTCTCTCTCTCTCTCTCTCTCTCTCTCTCTCTCTCTCTCTCTCCTCTCTCTCTCTCTCTCCTCTCTCTCTCTCTCTCTCTCTCTCTCTCTCTCTCTCTCTCTCTCTCTCTCTCTCTCTCTCCGTGGGCGAGCGTGTGTGTGAGGCTGCGGGTGGCTGGTCCTGGAGACGCGCGCAGAATGGGAGATCGTTATCGCTGGAATTTATAAAGGTTTCCCTTTCGGGACCGTAACGCTACGCGCTCGGCGCCTTTTTCGCGTTTCTTGTCGGAGTTACGCGCGGTCAGAAAGTGTGACAAGGGCGTTACAAAATTAGAGTAATCACGCCTCGCGTCTGCGTCGGTGGCGGCGAGCCGCGGCGGAGTAGAAAGGACCCCACCGCGACTTGGGAGGGAAACTGGGGGAA